ATTACTAAATTGGGGCAAGAAGCCCTTTTCTAGATGCTACAAGCTTTATAAAGGGAAAATACTATTTCTAATATTCGACTTAACCTGGCTGCTTTGGTTTAAAAAAAAAGGATAACATATTAAATATTTAAAATGACCAGATGGTAGGTTTGAATCCACTAAAAACAAACTCAGCAGGGCAAACTCACAGGCACAAAATGTAACTCAAAGCATTAGTAGAGCTGAGGCTGTTTTTCTTTAGCATTATGAATCTCTTTATTTGCAATGACTATACCAGAGCTCTAAAGAGGCAGTCTTATACATCAAACTGTCATTAAAATATGTGGCTCTTTCCTGCAGTGTCATGTTACTACTGCACTGAAAATTTTATTTTTCCAGTAATACCGGAGGTAGTAATTAGGTCTATTATTTCTGGCCAACCATAATAGATACAACCATAACGGACACAACCCAAAGGTTAATTGCTATGCTACAAACACTGCAGCAATTAGCTTTTAGAGTAGGGAGTGACAGGGAATGTATTTCAAGTGAAAGTTAGTTTTTAAATAGAAACTATCCTCTACGTCGTGTGCATAGACTTCCTTAATAAATTAAGTCAGTGCATGATCAAATTCACAATGCTACTTGGAGGGAGTGAAGCCATGGTAGAGCTTTTAAGGGTTAGGGAAAGAAGTATTTGGGAGAGAACTTCATGAGGGAAGGGGTTCATACCACTGGAAGTTCTAACTGCTTCCTCCCAAGTCCCTTTATGCTTCTGTACTCTTCAATGCCTCTGCTCAACCCAGCCTCCTCCAGCTGGGGTCCCTCTACTGCTATTTGTTCCTCAAACTACTAATGTCTCAGCATCAGGTCAGTGGCCACAAGCAGGCCTATCCCCTAGTATGTGTATAGGGACCAGGCAGGAGTACAAAGGAGGATACCATGCTATATGTCTACATAGCTAAAACTCATATATCAAACTAACAAACTGCTACTTGAAATATGTTCTATCCTCCTACTTTGAAAAAACGTACCTTTATAAAGACAGAAATGTTTTTAATGTGTAAAGCTATGTTTTAATGAGTAGGCAAAATATCAAAAATAGATCAATTCAATTATTATTGCACGTGTTTGCATAGTCTGGTGATAGGCTGGAGATGTTCGGGTAAGTAATTAAATAAAAATTTACACAGTTTACAAATTACATATTTACCCCTGTGATATTTACTTTCTTCTCTTCATTTTAGCAAAATCCCTTAATTATATTGTCATAATCAAAATTTTCATAGTCAGTATTCTATGAATACTAATGCCAAATTACATAATTTTCCTGAATTATTGCAGCTTTTGGGATTTTCAACTTGATTTTAACTTGGAGATACTTTGCTCTGCTAAGGCAGTAGCAACTGGAATTATCAATAAAATTCTTAAAGTTATACCTATTTTTTAAAATGAGATATTAAGGTTTGTAGTGTGGCATGTAAGGAGCTTAGCTGTTAATCTGTCCTAACAAAAAGTAGAAAGTTGAACAAACTGAAAATCAACAACTCTTCCTAGATCTAGCAGAGAAGTGGGGACACAGAGCAAGCCACTGCGTCCAAAGCTGGAGAGACAAACAGGCAGATACAGAGAATCATAATTTATTAGAGCAGCAACCCACCAGCAGAAACCTCCAGGGGCACGAGTACAGGGTAAGAAGACCAGAACTGTAACTGATGAATTGCTAGAGGTTCAGTGTGGTCAAGACTAAGAGTTTAAAACTTCAGGGGGTTAGCCAGGCACGGTGGCTCACACCTGTAATCCCAGCACTCTGGGAGGCCTAGGCAGGCAGATTGCAAGGTTAGGAGACTGAGACTATCCTGACCAGTATGGGGAAACTCTGTCTCTACTAAAAATACAAAAATTAGCTGGGCATGGTGGTGTGCACCTATAATCCCCACTACTTGGGAGGCTGAGGAAGGAGAATCGTTTGAACCTGGGAGGCGGAGGTTGCAGTGAGTCAAGATTGCACTACTGCACTCCAGCCTGGCAACAGAGCGAGACTCACACACACACATACACACACACACACACACACACATACACAAAAGGGGTAGGGGGCTAGTCTTTGGAGGGCACACCCACACTTTCATAAGTTTTACCTCCAGGAGTTCTTCCAGGTTCTGTCAGTGAAAATCAAAGAAAAATCACCTCCTACATCCAATAGGGAAAGGTTTAAAGTAACCATTTTGAAATATGTCAAAATATTCTGCTCTTTTCAACAAGGCCTGTCCTCAAGAGAAACTACTTTACCAGAGCCTAACCTATTAGTTTTAGCAGAGTCTAATCAAGCTGGTATATGGCAAATATCCAGCCCCCTCTAGACATCCTGTCCCACCCAAGAAGGGGGATAAAAACTAAGAAGCACTTGTGAAGTTCCCAGCCTAGGGACACAGGCTCACTAAGACTGAGACCTAATCACAGGTCTATGGAATGCTTCCCCTCCTCCCACATCTTAACACCACATCACTAAAGCCCATTTATTCCAGTGCCTTTCACCCAGTACATCATGTCCAGCTTTCAACTAAAAATTACACGGCACACTATAGAGCAAAAAACACAGTTTGAAGAGACAAAGCAATCATCAGAACTAGACTCACATATGGCAGAGATATTGGAATTATCAGACCAGGAACTTCAAATAACTGATTAATATATTAAGGGCTGTAAAGGTAAATGTAGACAACTTGAAAGAACAGATGGTTAATGTAAGCAGAAATGAAATTTTTAAGGAAGAATAAATAAGAATTGCTAGAGATATAAAGTTCTATAACAGAAATGAAGAATGCCTTTGATGGATTCATTAATAGGTTGGACATGGTTGAGAAAAGAATCTCTGAGCTTGAGGATACGTCAATGGAAACTTCCAAAATTGAAAAATAAAGAGAAAAAAAGACTTAAAGAAACAATATCCAAGAACTGTGAAACAACTACAAAAATATAACATATGTGTAACAGGAATACCAGAAGGAGAAGAAATAGAGACAGGAACAGAAGAAATATTTGAAGCAACAGTGACTGAAAATTTCCCCAAATTAATGTCAGTCACCAACAATGTTAGACCACCTCTCTAAAATCTCTTCCAGAAGATAGAAACAGAGGGAATACTTCCTAGCAGCATTGCCCTAATACCAGAACCAGACAAAAACATTACTAGCAAAGAAAACTATAAACCAATACATCTCTAGAACAAAGATGTAAAAATCCTCAACAAAATATTAGCTAGTAGAATCCAGCAATGCATAAAAGGAATTGTACAGCATAACCAAGATTTATCCCAGGTATGAAAGGCTGGTCCAGTATTTGAAAATTCATTCATGTAATCTACCATATGAATAGACTCAAGAAGAAAAATCACATGATCACATCAATAGATGCAGAAAATGCATTTGACAAAATCCAACATATTTTCACGATAAAAACTTTCAGCAAACTAGGGACAGAGTGGGGAACTTCCTCATTTGCTAAAGAACATCTACAAAAACCCTAAGGTAACATCATACTTAATGATGTGGAACTTACCTATAGAGGAATAAAAATAAAGAATGACATCCAACTTCTCAGAAACCATGTAGACAAGAAGAGAGGTGGAGTAAAACTGTTGAGAGAAAAAAACTACTAACCTATAATTCTGTACCTTGCAAAATTAGCCTTCAAAAGTAAAAGTCTGTTTCTTCTACTTTTGGTCACCACTGTCCCCTAGCATCAGCCCAGAGGAACAATGCAAAGAGAAAGAGAAGGAAAATGAGGAAAACTGTCAGATAGTTATTTACAGATGAAGAAACTAAAGAGGATCTGAATAATTTGCTCAAGTTCATACAGCAAGTAAGTGCTGGAGCTAGGTTTTGAACCCAGGGGTTTTGAACTCCAAAGTTTGTGTTCTTAATCTCGTACCATTGGGATGAAATTTGTACAGTGAAAGACAAGCAACGATATAGATGATTGCCTAAGTATTCCAAATCCATCCTGACAAAAAAATTAATAATTCCAGTTAATCATTGCTCACTATATAATTAAATACAATTAAAAATAAAACAGGCTTTATTTCTGTATAAATCAACTCACTACAATTTTTCCTTCCAAATCATGGAACAAGTATTCACTTGAATTACAAAAGTATCATTTTCAAATGATACTTTAAAAGTGTCGTTTGTAAATGATACTTTAAAAAGTATCGTTTTAAAATACTTTTAAAAGTATTGTTTTTAAATGATACTTTTAGTGATACCTCACTGCCTGGTAATTACTACTTTTAGCGATACTTCACTGCCTAGTAGTCACTAGAGCCTGATCACAAAAAGATTCATTAAGTTCGTAGAAATTGGAGAGAAAGAGTCTTCCGATGTAGAAACTTAGAAATTTAGGGGGAAATACTCTTCCTACATAGAAATTTACTCTGCAAGACATCAACTATCCAGCTCTTAATGATATTAATATTGCTTCATCACTACCTGTCTCCCAACATCAGTCTTAAGCTTTTGATAAAACTGGGGAGGAATTCCCCTTTCCAAGTTCAAGCCTTTCACCCACAGATTTCAAAACTCTTACTCTGGTTGTTCAGTGTTGTCCTTCTAGGTATGGCAATATGACATTCCTTTTCTGCAACAGGATGATTTATCTGACAAGAATAGCCTCCATTTACAAGTTACTTTGCATTTTTCAAAGTACTTCTACAAGTTCATTTGCTTCTCATACAATTCTGTTTCATAGGAGGATCTTACAGGATAGGTGTAAACACTTGTAACGAACTTGGCACTATTTGACTTACAGCCAGGGCTCAATTAACGTTAACCATCACTACAACTATTGTCATTCCCATATTGTGAGGAAACTATGTCCCTGAAAGATTAAGGTAATTTATCTAACATCTATGACAGTGTTGGTACCCCAAACTAGGTTGATTTCTACGGCAGTTCAACTTCCTATTAGGGTTTGTATCAATAAAACTGTAGGACCCGCCAGGGCTGGAATCCCACTGCTACCTGAGCATACAGTTGGTGACCAGACTCCCCGAATTAATAAAAGGATTTGTTGTTGTTGTTGTTATAGCAGTTGTCCAGGAAGTATCTCCTTTCGAACTCAGGTCACTGGGCAACTGACTTTACAGAGCAAATTGGCCCCGTTTAAGGATTCTTGGCTCCTGAAATCCGCAAGGAAGTGGGTTCTTTTAGCGGGAGCGCCAAGAGCTTCAAAAAAATCCTTCTAAAGTGAACCCCTCTGGACCCGGATAGTGAGACAGGGCTCAGCCTTGTGCCTCGGGGGCAGTAACAGACGGCAAGGTGGAGGGGGCTTCCCGGGCCCACAGCCGGACCTCGGCACCCCGAGCGCGTTCACCGGGGCCGGGTCCTGGCGGGCCGCGGAGTCAGGCCGGGCGGCGCAGCTCAGGCGGTGCCCGGGCGCAGGGCCAGTCCCACCGCCGCCGCCGCCGCGAGCCCGGACCTGCCCGCCCGACCTGGCGGCGCAGTCTCGCGGGATCGCTCAGCTCTCGCTCCCCGTGCGGCTCTCGAGGCAGCTTCAGTCCCGGACGCTCCCCGGAGCCGTCTCAGGTCGCTGGGGGGACGGTGGGGTAGACGGGGACGGGAAGGGAGAGCGGCCTTCGACCGCTGCCCGAGGTGGGGCTCCCACGGCCGGGACTGGGCAGGGGCCGGGCGGGTGCCGGGGGAAGCGGGGCGGGCCTCGAGGGGCGCGAGGGGCCGCGGCTGGGTGAGGCGCGCCGGGAGCCGCAGGTGCTGGGGAGGTGGTGGCGGGACGGCCCGCACCCGAGTTTCCTCGGAAACGGGAGCCGGCTCTGAAAGGCTGGCTGTGCCGGGGCCCGGCGGCACCGCGCAGGCCAGGAACGCGCTGTCTGGCTCTAGGCCTGGGGCAGGTGCCCGGGTGTGGGGCGCTGGCAGACCGGCCATCAGTGTGTGTTGGGGCGCGGGTAATTCGTAATCCGGGGCCCACAGCCTTCCTCCCCCAGGGGACTGCCTTCGCCCTTCCCGCGGGACGGATTTGCGCACTTTCCTTTCGACGGCAGCGCTACACCCTCCTAGCCAGTGAAAACTGCAATGTTGCTCCTCCGCTGGAGGAATCCTAAAAGTCTCTCTCTAGTTGGCCTTTTGAAAAACGAGAAAACTAAGACTGCTACAAAAATTGACTCTTTAGAGTCTTTTACAAGTTTAAGAACTCTTTGGGTCTTAAGGAATTTCCCAGGGCCTTAGTTTTCTTGTACTTAATAAGCTTTCCAACAGGGGCCCTTAGATTGTATGCTTATATTAATCTTTTATGATTTACTCCGAATCACCAGCGTTCCTTTTTTCCTCCATCTCACTCTTGCCATTCCCCCTTTTAACCCTGTGTTCCATACAGCAGCAACCTCCTAGCATCGGTTTCCTAGAGGTGCAGCTTCCTTAGCAAATGATGCATTCCATGCTAAGGCAGGTGGAAGAGTATCTCGCTAGGACAGAATTTTCCGTTGTTTTTCCAGTGTTTGTTACCTGGGATGAAAATCTTAACTCTGCACTTTGACTCCACATTTGAGTTTATGACAAATGTTGCTGATACACCCTCTTGTTTGTTTTTACAGTAATTGACCCATTTTCAGGTTTTCCTGAAAATGAATAAAATCGTGAAATGAGGAATTTGAATATTTTATCTTTGGATGGGGATCTTCTGAGGATGCAAAGAGTGATTCATCCAAGCCATGTGGTAGAATCAGGAATTTGAAGAAAATGGAAATGTTTACATTTTTGTTGACGTGTATTTTTCTACCCCTCATAAGAGGGCACAGTCTCTTCACCTGTGAACCAATTACTGTTCCCAGATGTATGAAAATGGCCTACAACATGACATTTTTCCCTAATCTGATGGGTCATTATGACCAGAGTATTGCCGCCGTGGAAATGGAGGTGAGTAGTGCTTCATACCTTTATTGAAAAGTAGTTTATGCTCTGTTCTAGAAACTAGTAATGTGACTTATTTTTAAACACAGCCGATTTCTTCAAGTTGTGTACAAGTCGTGTTTTGAAAAGTCCTTTTGAAAATTAAATCCCTCTACTGACTTATGTTTTATGTACATTTGCGGCCCGGTTTAGTAGACTCGTTTAAATAGGGTTCATTTTATATAATGAAGTATGGTGACAAATGATTTCTAAATACCTTGTACCTGGAAAATATTTTGCTTTCCTGAATCAAGTATGATAGTTCCTCTAAATGGGAATTCTGAATATTTTTCTAATTCAGTGAACATGTAATATTTATTGCCTGGACTAAAAGTGAAGAAATCTACATGTTTTTATAAGTAGTTGTAATATTCACTTGATACAGTTTTTCTGAAATAAATTATCAGAATATTTTGTTGCTGTAGACTGTATTTTAAGGTTATCACAAAGTCTCTGAAAAGTGACTTTGTTTTCTAAGCATAACACATATATGTTCTTTATAAGATACTTGTTAAAAGAAACCACTTGGGAGGAGTACAGTGACACTAAAGATTGCCTTAGGTGCCTTAGTTACCTGTCTCTGGTTTAGAGATATGCAAATTACTAGGGAGTGTGGGAAGAAAGCTACCTGTACAGACAGGAACCTGCCTTCCCATGCAGATTTGTTAGGTTGTTAAGTCTCCTGAAGGGAACTGGACACATGTATTGTTTTTGTAGTTTTTCTCCAGAAAAACTGAGAATAGTAAAGGCTTTTTCCCCTCAGATTGTTGCTAAGAGAAGAAATCCCTACAAATTTAATATATATACTCTTTTTGAAATTGATTAGATTTGATTTTGCAGCTTTGAAAGTTTTCTATTGTTGTTCAATTGAATAGTCGTCTGACTGCCTCATTGTGGACTCATGTCTGGAATAGGAAAGCTTATAAATACTAAGTAGATGTTATTTAAAAGGATAATACAGATTGTATTATTGTTATCTTTCAGTGTTTTTTTTCCAAACCGATGCAAGATGTCCTTTTGAACACTGAACAAATGAGGCACTGAGACTTTCATTAATCAGAACCATTTTGATGGTTCAGTCTGATTCAATATAAAGTGTATAAAGTATATAGTGAGAACACTGTGAAGCAATAATTACTTCATTCATTCACTTTTTCTCTGATGATGTTTTGTAGTGTTCATGTTTTGATAGTGTTCCTAAATTTTTTTAATCTGATTTCCTTTGTATGTGGTAACTACATACATTTTAAGGTTTTTGTTTTTTCTTTTAGAGATGCGGTCTCACTATGTTGCCCAGGCTGGTCTTGTACTCCTAGGCTCAAGTGATCCGTCCTGCCTCAGCATCCCAAAGTGCTAAGATTACAGGCATGAGCCACTGCACCTGGCCGACCATTTTAAGTTTGAATGCTAGAAGTGACCTTATAAATTCATATCATCTAGACTCAAGAGAGATACATCCCTGCTATTAAATGCCTATAATTATAAGATAGTAGCAACTAGCTTTGTTCTACACATGTAGAACCAATTGTTCTTTACTTTCAAAAAAAAAAAAGTTACTTTTTAATTTACATAGCTTCTTTCCCAAGTGGTTTTGTGCCTGGATATTATTAAGAAGGCTTTTGGTTCTTACCTCTTTTATGTGATTGCTAACACTACCAATCTCTTCATTATATAATTTTCCACATGTAAGTAACTTTTCTCATAGCCTTTGCTAATGAAGGTTTTTTTTTTTTTTTTGCTATAAATCTTACTTCAGTAAGTTTAAGGATACACAAGAAGAAAGCCCTCAAGCAGTCACAATACCAGCATTAACCTAAGTCTACAGAAGAAAGGAAAGAGAAGTGAAAAGGCAATAATATTGTCAACTTAGGTCAGGCTTTTAATCTCTATACGTAATATTTTAGTCTATACTGTTGTGTTTTTCCTACCACCCCATTCCTATTTTTCCTTATACAATAGTATTCTCTTTTAGTTACTGTATTTGAATGTCCAAAATCCTATAATTTGAGAGTTGTAAGTGACCCTAAAGATCACTTCTTAGCCTTTTTTATAAGCTTCTTAGCCTTTTTTGTGCCATTAACCCCTTCTCAGAATAAGTTTTAATATTTAAATAAATAAAATGGGTAGGATTACAAAGAAAACAAATTAGATTGAAATATACTTATAGCTCAGGTAAAGAACCCCTGAACCCTTCATTATACAGATGAAAAAACTGAAACCCAGAAAAGTTATGATTTGTCCAAGGTTCAGGCACTCCAATCTGATAGTCTTCTCTATCTACATGGACCATAATGTCATCTTTAACTGTTTTTTTTTTTTTAAGGCTCTTGTCCTTATTGGATAAACAAGATAATATTTCTTATGCTTTAGAATGCAATGTGTAAATTTCACACTTTGCTACTTCTTTGCAAACTTCATTTAGATAAAAATTAAACTGGGTGCTTGTTTTACCTCTGTTTAGCTCTGTCTGTCTTTTTCCTTCTTACAAGTGCCTTGAATACAAAGTCTTATTAGAGCAAAAATAAAATCTCTGTGTCACACACCTGTAGTCCCATCTACTCTGGAGGCTGAGGTGGCAGGATCACTTAAGCCCAAGAGTTGGAGGCTGCAGTGAGCTATGATCGTTCCATTGCACTCCAGTCTGGGCAACAGAGTGAGACTTTAACTCACCAAAACAAAATGAAAACAATAACAACAAAAACAAAGCAAAAGTTAACTCCCTAATTTTCAGTCTCTCTAGTGGTGCCACAGTGATTTTACTATAATTCAAATTTGTGCAGTCCACTTTAGGGTTAAAATCCTTCATCATTTTCCCTAAAGCTGGGGAAATAAAGACCTGATTCTTGAGCACCCCAGGCCCTTCATGTGAGACTCTGGCTTCTTGTCTAGTCTCCCATCTTGTACCATCCCACATTGCACACACTGCTTTAGCCAACTGACCTGTTTGGAGAATTCAAATCCATATTACTCTCCATCACCTCTGTATCTTTACACACACTGTATCCTCTGGTGAGCTGTCTGTCTACCTAGCTTTCTTCACCTGCTCAGTTCCTTCAGGTCTCAGTTAAAGCAATAACTGTTTTTAGTGAAGCCTTCTTTCACCTTTCTCCTGAGCATATTTAATCAGCCCACTCTACACCCTTACAGTACTTATAATGTACATTTGTTCTTATACTTATCATGCTGTTTTACAGTGATCTACATGTCTCTAGATTGAGAGTTAGTTGAAGGTAGGGATGGTGGGTTTGTTTTGGTTTTTTTTTCCATTTCTATCCCTAATACTAAGTACAATGCCTCTGAGCATGGTAGAGGCTCCATAGAAGCTAAATAAAGAAAAAGGTAGGATTTTATGTCCCAGTAAGTCAGCAAAGGGAATTTTCCCTCAAAATGTTTACCTTCCACTTCTATCATCTATAGTGTCCAAATCAAAGACATACTAATATTTTTAGGTGGTTTACATACCATTCTTTTTCATCCTGTCTGGGCCTAGCTTTAATGAAATTTATCAGTTGACA